TTCAGCTCCGTGAGTCGAAGATGGCCGAGCAGCTTGGTGAGGACGTCCATGAGTTGCCGACCAGTTTCAACGAACTCGATGACGATCTGTCCTCCATCGACACAGTCCCTGAGGAAGTGGAACTTCATGTCGATGTGCTTGCTTCGGTCGTGGAGAACCGGATTCTTCGCGAGGGCGATGGCCGGCTGGTTGTCCACTATCAGTGCTGGTGGGTGAGCTTCCACACAGGTTAGCTCGCCCAGCAGCCGGCGCAGCCACACAACTTGGCACGCTGCTGTGGCCGCCGCCACGTACTCTGCCTCACACGTAGACAGCACCACCACCTTCTATTTCAGCGACAGCCATGAAATTGGAGCCAACTCGAGGAAGACGAGCACGCCAAAGGTGCTCCGCCGTCCGTCGATGACCCCCGCCATGTCGGCATCACTAAACACCGTGAGTTGCAGCCTACTTCCACTGGTCTTGGGGAAGACGATCCCCTGATCCACCATCCCCTTGATGTAGCGCAGTAGCCACTTCACCACAGCCCAGTGATCCTCCATGAAGCAACTGACGTAGCCCACGGCGAATGCAATGTCCGGCCTCATGTGGACTAGATAGCGTAGACCGCCGATGATGCTCCGGTAGAGTGTTGCATCTACCTTCGCCGCGGTACTGGGCTTCGTCAGCTTCAGTCGCTCCTCGATTGGAGTCACGCATGGCTTGCACTCAGTCACGCCGCTCCGCTCCAACAGCTTCGAGGCATATGCGCTCTGACCAAGCGTGAGCGCCTCCTTCCCCTGTCTTATGTACCTAGATGCCGAGATAGTAGGAGAGCACGCCAAGATCGCTCATTCAAAAATGAGCTGCCAGCTCACGCTTGAAGCTATCAATGTCCTCCGCACGCGCGCCGGTGAGGATCAAGTCGTCCACATACATGCCGATGATGAGCTCCTCCTTCCCCCATCGCCACGTGTAGAGCGCGTGCTCGGTTGCACACTGTGTGAACCCAAGCTCGCCCAGCGTGGCGTCAAGCTTGGAGTTCCACGCTTGTGGGGCCTGCGGCAGCCCATAGAGCACTTTGCGTAGTCGTAGCACCGTGTGCTCCACTCCCTTGATGGCGAAACCTAGATGTTGTCTAACGAAGACCGTCTCCGCCAGCTCGCCATTAAGGAAAGCCTATTTCACATCCAGGTGATGGACGCGCCAGTCCTTCACTTCTGCTAAAGCCAGAAGCAGTCGAACAAACTCCATGCGCGCTATCGGCGCAAAGACTTCCTCGAAGTCGATGCCCTCACGCTGGACAAAGCCTCGGGTAATGATGCGCGCCTTGTGCTTGATAATGGGGCCGTGCTCATTCCACTTGACCTTCTACACCCACTTCAGGCCAATCGGATGGCATCCTAGAGGTGGATTGATGAGCTCCCAAGTCTTGTTTTTGTCAATCGCCTTCATCTCCTCTAGCATCGCCCATCGCCAATGTGCATCGCGCTCGGCCAGCGCGAACGTGGGTGGTTCCTCTGCACTGACGAGTAGTAGCTCTGGGTCATTGAGCAGCCGACCCGCCAGGCCTGAGGGCTCTGTGCCACCATCAATGTCGTCCAGCCTGTGGAACCGCACCTCCTCACCTTCGTGGAAGGCATCCACGAACTTAGTGATATCACTTGGAGGTGAGGCAAACTCGATCGGCGTTGATGAAGTTCCCTGTTCCGCTGGAGTGCTAGCACAGCACCTAGAGTGCTCGGCACTACTCTTGGACCGCTCGTCATTACTCCTGGAGTGCTCAGCCTCAGTCTTGGAGTGGTCGGCACCACTGCAAGACCTCTCGGCTTCGCTACGGGAGTGTTCAGCACCTATCCTGGAGTGGTCGACACCACTGTAGGATCGCTCGGCCCCACTCCTGGAGTGCTCGGCACCTCTTCCCCAGTGTCTCCACCACCGTGGATGACCAAGTGCTCAACGACGAAGGTGCTGGTTAAGCCGCCAGCTTCCCCCATGCTCTGACTGTTCCAGTCCCAAGCCACCTTCTCATCGAACACAACGTCGCGTGAGACAAGCACCTTGTCTCCACATGGGTCGTAGAGCCGGTATGCCTTGGTACCTTCCGCGTAGCCCAGGAACACCATCGGTGTGCTCCTGTCCTCTAGCTTGGTGAGGATCGGCTTTGTCTTCCTGAAGTGGCCGATGCAGCTGAATGTCCAGAGGAAGAACACGCTTGGCTTGTGCCCATACCAAGCTTCGAACGGTGTCTTGCCCTTCAGGGCCTTAGTGGGCACGCGGTTGAGGATGAACACCGCCGTGGTCACCGCTTCACCCTAGAACCTTGCCGGCATGCCCTTGGCCAACATCATGGATCGAGCCATGCCAGCCACCGTCTGGTTCCGCCGCTCCGCCACGCCATTCTGCTGTGGCGAGTACGGCGCAGTGTGGTGTCGCTCCACACCCTCATCCGCACAGTACGCAGCGAACTCCACCGAAGTGAATTCGCCACCACGATCAGTCCTCAGCATGCGTTGTTTCTTGCCGCTCTCGGCCTCCGCGCGCATCTTGAACTTCTTGATTGCCGCCGCCGCTTCGTCCTTGCTCGTTAGGAGTTGTAGCCACATATAGCGACTGCAATCATCCACGAGCAGGAGGAAGTACCTCCAACCACCATTTGTGGCTAGCGTGATTGGTCCACAGAGATCGCCGTGGACGAGCTCGAGAGCATCCATCACGCGATACTTGGCCGCCTTTGGGAACGACAGACTCCTCTGCTTCCCGGCCAGGCAGCTGTCACATAGCTCGCCTCTGTGCTCGATGTGAGGCAGCCCTTGGACCATCATCTCTAGCCGACCAAACGCGTCGAAGCTGAGATGGCCGAACTAGGCATGCCACAGCCATGGCTCCTCGGTGTGCCATGCCGCTAGGCACACCGGCTGCTCCACCTTCAAGTCGAGCAGGTACAACTGGTTCTGCAACCTCTTCACCTTGGTAAGAAGTCGCTGCTCCTAGTCCTTGATCCTTAGGACGCCGTCCTTGATCAGTACCTCGCTACCGCGCTCATCCAGCTGGCCAATACTAATGATGCTTAAACGCAGCTGCAGGATGTAATACACATCCATTAGCGCGCGGTGCTCTCTGTTCTGGCACCTGAAGATGATGGTGCCGTGCGCTTGGATTGCCACCCTTGAGCCGTCACCGAACTTCACCGTACCGGTCACATCATCGTCGAGCTCGGAGAAGGCAGCCTTTAAGCCCGTCATGTGGTTGCTGGTGCCAGAGTCTAGATACCACCGCTGCTCCTACTCGCCGCCCACACATCTGAGGTGGACTTGGGCGCGGTTCGTCGATGTTGACAGCCTTCAGGGCCTTCCCAGACCCTTTCACCGCCATCACCTCTCCCTTCTCCTCGGCCTCGGCATCGTGCAGTGCACAGAACGTCGCCATCAGGATAGTGGCCACATCATCATCATCAGCTTGCACCAAATGAGCCTTAGCCTTCTTCTCCTGCTTGCGATTTTAGGCACTCCGTGCCCAATGGCCCGTCTTCCCGCAACGCCGATAGGTGTTCGGGTTGACCTGCTTCTTCTTCCTGCAGAAGCCTTGCCGCGGTGCTTGCCACGCCACCACGGCTGGAGGAGGCTTCCCCGGAGTTCCTCCGAACAGCTCACTCCTCCTCTGTCAGCAGCAGCTTGCCGCTATCCTTCGTCACTGTAGCCTGCTCCATGTGCTCGTCCACCGCCCGTAGACGGCCAGTCACATCCTCAATGGTGAGGGTGGATAGGTCCAGCATCGTCTCTATGGAGAGAGCGATCTGAATGTACTTCGTCGGCACAGAGTGGAGATACTTGGAGACCGCCTCCTCTTCGTCGATGGTGACGCCGTGGCTCTTCAGCTTGCTAATGAGCGTCTACAGGCGGAGGGAGAAGTCCTCCACCGATTCACCATCCTTGAACTTGAGGTTGGCGTACTCCTGCTTCAGAAGCTGGGTCGTCGCATTCTTTGCGCGGTCGGAACCGACGCGCATCGCCGCAATAGCCTCCCACACCTCTTTAGGTGAGCTCTTCGCCCCCAACGGCTCCCTGTACTCCGCGAGGATAGCCTTCAACGCTGACATGTTGTCTTCTTTATTTTCGGTGCCCTTGTCAACAGCATTCCAGAGCCGTCAGGCTCTGAGCTTGACCTTCATGGTCACCGACCACTCGCCATCGTTGGTGCGAGTCAGCGTCGGCCAACTGGTGCCGCTCACCTCCCGCACCGTGCGCACAACGACCTTCTATTGTGGTTGGGCAGCCAAACCGTCCGTCATCGCCAGCGGTTAGTCCAGCGACGGCGCTTGTACGGCTCTGATACCACTTGTTAGCCCACAGGACCATCGGCACGGGTGAGTTGACCACTTACCAGTGTTGCCAACCACGACTATCGTTGTCCGACCACACACTATGGCTAGAGGTAGAAGAAGGGAGGGAGAACAGAGCATACACACACAGCAGAAGCACCAGCGTTGGCCGAAGTTCTACTGAGGAGATGGCAAAACTGAACTCGTTCTTTACTGAGTTACAGTGGCAAACTATATATATATATACAACTATAACCATCTAGTCCTAGTATAGCTGCCATGCTGCTACAGCGATAGCAGGGCTGACTTTGGCGTCTGCCCCTGCTGTGGCTACAGTGCGGCTGGTGAGCCGTTCGGTACCTGCCCCTGCAGCGGCTACAGTGTCACGACAGGGAGCCTTTTCGGCGCCGCCTTCCCCTGCTGCGCTTTCACACAAGGGAGCAATAGATTATTTAACAATATATACAACAACCAGTGTCACTTTTCAGAAGATTAATTATATAAGAGAGCAGGAGAGAGAAGAATATATAATTATAAGGAAAAAAAAAGAATAATTAAGGAGAACGAACGCCACCAGCAGTACGGGCGGTGCAGGAATAGGAAGTTGTTATGGCTGAGACGACGGCATCAATCGTAATTTTCAGAGCAGCAGGCTTCCTCGGATGCTTGACATTTTTTGACAAGTTGGTGCTGGACTGCTTCAGAGAAACCTTAGTTGTATTAATGCTGGCGGACGAAGCTCCATCAAAGCAGGCTTGCTCGGATGCTTGGCAAGCTGCTGCTGGACTGATTCCTTGAGTGCGTCGGGGAAGTCATGCAGAAGCCATACTTGCTTGAGGGAAACCGGGTGCTCTAGCCCAGAAAACTGTATCTCTGACTGAAAACCGTTGTGTAAATAATTCAGCTGCTCAAGCTTCTTCATCGCTCCGTCACCAAATCTTACATGTAACTTGGATTTTGAGACAATCTCGAGGACCTCGAGTTTCTCGAAAAGGTTTTTATTGAGAAATTGGAGCTCACCATCTTGATCCTTGTTGACACGAAGGCGTAGAGTACGCAGGCTTGGTAGGAGCCTGTGGACCTCTATGACATTTGGTGTGAACAGTGTAGCCATCTCTAAAGTCAGCTTCCTGAGATCGACACAATCCTTGATTCTCGGTGGCAGCTTCTCTACAGGGCCGTACATCTTTAGGCTCCGTAGGCATTTGGGAATGCCGATGTGTTCCCAATGAACGAAAGGGTTGTTTTCCTCGAACTCCAGTGACAAGGATTCCAAATGATTAAACCAGAAGAAAAGAGACCGTCTTCTGGTTTTCCGGATGATGCCAGAGACTCGGAGTTTCTTTAACTGGGGAAGGGAAACGATCTCATCCAAAATGCGGCCCCCGCCTGCGGTATTTACACGGACGCCAACGAGCGTTCGCAAGGCTTCCAGTCTCCCAATCCCACTAGGTACCTTAAAACCACCAGTGGGATAACTAATAAAGTTTTCCAAAGAGGTAAAGGCGGTATCTGCACGAATGTACTGCAGCTTCCGTAGCCTGGTGATGAATGGTGGCAGCGTGAGGATGGAGGTGCCTCTGATATCCAGAGTTTGCAGCTGCAACAGGTCACCCACGGATTCTGGCAACTTGCTGATTCGTCTCTGTCCTCTCAGGGAGAGGAACTTGAGACGAGATGACAGCTTCCCAATCTTCTCCATGTTATCATCGTCTACTCCTAATGCATTCTCTAGATCCAGCACCCGAAGCACCCTCATCGTGTCCAAGACGTAGAATGACCGAAACTTTTGAAACACCGTCAGAGACCGTAGCCGTGAGAAGTCCAAACTGTCGAACACAATCTGGTCTTCATCTTCATCATGCCAGGTGCTCCCGATGGCTAGGTGCTGTCCTATGCCTTGTGTGGTCAGGCGGTCATGCCGCTGCTTCTCCAGCACAGAAACTTCCACTGGTAAGAAAATAGTCTCTTCCGCTGGCCGTGACATGACGTACTCACGGAAGAAACCGTTGACTCGGTACCCAATGACCTTGCTCTCCTTCAGTACTGGCGGAATGATGCTTGGTGCGGCGACCTCGTCGAAAATCTGCTCTGCATACTTCTGCATGCTGATGCTGTCGGTGCCCTTGGAGTAGCCCTCGGCAATCCATCACCTGATCAAACGCCTCCGCGGAATCATGATGCCTGGAGGAAAGATTGATAGATACAGCATGCATTTCTTGAGATGGCGAGGGCAAGCATCCAAGTAGGAATGCATCCAGGGAAGTAGGTCCCGCAACGAATCGAACTCTGGGTTAGTCGCCACCTCCTGAATAAAGTTCTCACTCGGACGCCTCATCTCCTGTTCGAGTTCGACTTTTGGTTTCCTGGCCAGGTACGTTGCCAATGCAACTACCACTTTGGGAATCCTGCCGCACCTGGACGAGATAGTGTGTGCTTCTTTGCAAGCATTCGTGTACCGAAGATTGTTCTCCTCGTCCAGACACCACCGATTCCCCCCAAGCACCTATTGGTCAAAAAATGTCTTTGGAAAATAAATTAAACCACGTTATCAGGAGTAGTTACCTACTGGTAGCTAGAAAAGCTACTCCAACTTAGATTAGATATTTTGATGAATGATGGTTATTGCAAAATACAAACCCCGCGCACCATGACAATATGTATTTTGCCATCTACGCGTGCTGATGGCAATAACGGCAAAGCAGATTGTAAATGTTAATAAATAAATCTAGAAAATGGAAACTAAAATACTAAATGCGTGCGTACATGTATGTATGTCACTTCTCTATGTCCCATTATATTTGTCCAAACCACTATGAACATATAGTCCAGGTAACACTACAACTTTAAAATAATGCTGATGATAAATGTGGAAAAATGCTAGTATTGAATTATTTACTGCAACACCTGATCTCTTTGATATATATCTTTTGTAGACATTGGAGTGGGAACCCACCCCTTTGTAGATTTAGTTTTTGTTGGTCCTTTTTCATCTAGGGCTTGCTTTGATGGCACCATCAATGAGGTGGTAGTAACGATGGCGCATTGGAATAAGGTCTCTCCAACTTCTCTACACCTCTATAAAAACGCCTGATATGGCGCTAACTAAGGGCCAACGAGTTTTTGTTCTATCAGATTTATTAGTTCCCTTCAAATCTTGGTAGCTGGTGTGTTTTTTCAGGGGAAGCAGTTTGTTGCTGCCTATAGGCTTTAGGTCATGATTAAGAGTTTAAGACCTCTTCTTTGGATTTGCTCTACGTCAACGCCTAGTTTCTCTAACACAATGTGTGCACTAACCTCATTGCCACTGGCAGCTAGTGTTTGCGGTCCTTAAAGACTTGTATAGTGAGGGTATTTGTAGGTGTTCCTTCTCTTTGTTGCATTTTTGGTGTGATTTTGAATCACCTGTGGTTCAGGGACGATCCAAAGAAGAAGACCAAATTGGTCTTTGATGTACTATTAGTTTTTGTGGTAGTGTATCCTAGTAGCTTGTATAAGTTTCTTTCCTTTTAGGTGTGTGTATGAGTTTATACGTGCACACACAAACATACATATATAAGGCAAGTATGTTGGCCGTAGAATAGCATCTTCTATGGCCACCAAAATTAGCTATAATGATCGTAGTGGGTTACATAAGTGTAAGTATAGTATAGTTAATTAGAGGCTCCAAAGGACCCTGCACATTAATTTTCATGAGAAAAACACTAGAGAAGATTAATCCTAGAAATGCTAAAAAAACAAAAATACGGTGGCCACCATTCGTTATATTTAATAAGCATTTCGATCTATTCTATTTTCTAAAATAAAATTACCTGACTCTTCAAAAAAAATTACCTGCATTTACCATTGTGAATATAGTTTAATGTAACCCCTAATTCTATCTCTGTTACCTAAATTCTTGTATCTGCCAATATGAAAAATAACTAGAGTAACCTCCCAATCTGCATTTAAGTTACCAATCTTTGCCAATGCAAAATAATATAAAATAACTCTAACTTAACATCTAAATAACGTGTTCCTATCTGTTTGAAGGCATCTAATAAAATCCTACTTTATCATTGTTAGAAAATTACCTAAAGTAACCCCTACATTTTCATCTAAATTCCTATATCTATTGTTATAAATGTTACCCCAAAGTACTAAGTGTGCTTCTAAATTAAACATGTCTATTGTAGAGAAAAAATAAATTTATGCAAGTAATTTATTGTGTGGTACATAAGTCCAAACTACACGTAGTCATCTCTTAATCAATAATGTGAAAATGCTACGTCAGTCCGATCTCATGCTTGTTCATGCTAAGGTTTTCCTCCCTCTCTAATCATGAGTGATAAGAGAATGCACTCTCATAGTTGAAGAAAGAGAACACCCACTAATATTATACTTCTTGGATATATAGCTACTGTTAAATTAACCTAACTACATCTGTTTTACTCCATCATTCATATTTTTTTTTCTGAATTTGATGTTTGAAATTTATTCCTTAATTTCTAACACTTATATATATATATATATTTCTTAACATCACTACCTAGCTCGTACAGCAGCATAGGTGAATGGACTTGTACACAAAAACAATGATCTGTAGGTGTTTTCACCAACCTGTTGATCATATAACATGAAAAAACAGGAAAAGTGAAAATAAAAAAATTGAATGAAGGAAAAAAAATACGAGGTGGTCCCATCCATCTTTGCTTCTGATGCATCATTCAAGCATCTCCACAGGTGGAAGAATGAAGGCTTGCCATGTTACACCTCCCAAAATTTTAAAGTTGGTGAAGCTTTACTTAAATCGTTTGCCACTAGCTTGCTGTTAATCTTGTATTTTATAAAGACAACAAATGCCACCGGCTTAGGGATAGTGAGAGTGTATAAAACGATCTGGGGCAATTTTACAATATATTTAGATCAACATGTAATGTAATTCAGCTAGAACTAGAAGTAAGATAACTTTAAACTAAAGCAATTGACACTGCTTGTGTGAGTAAACACACCTTTTTAAACAGTTCACGGGCTTGACCAGCTTCTAGAACTTTAATATTGTACACTGCGTCGTTGGATGATACTGCACAATGTTTGGCGACACCTTCATCCGAAGTAATGATGATGATACAATTTCTAGAATCGCCATATTGTATCAAATTAGATTTTATCAAATCCCAGTCTTGCTTGGACTGCAAACCGTCAATTACGACAAGACCGTTAAGTTGACATAACAAGTTGTAACACTCTTGGATTGTATCTTGGCCTCGAAGTGTTTTTGAATGTTTTCCATCCAAAACCAGGAGTAAGCTCTGTGAGAATTCCATGGGATTGAACGGATGTGAAACACTGACCCAAGCTTGTGTCTCGAAATTACCACTAGTTCTGAGTTTACTGCATACCGCTCCAACGAGAACTGATTTCCCAACACCAGGAATCCCCCACACAGAAATAAGATCATGTTTCTTGGTCATCTCAAAAACTTCATCCACTTCAGTGTGACGCCCAAGAAGGTCGTCAAAGCTGAACATTGAATGGTTGATCTCCGCCTTTACAGAGGAATAGACTCTATCATGTTGGAAACCCTGCATATGTAGAACGAAAGAGAAGGACAAACAAGATGAAAATAGAGGGGGTTAATTATTTGAAAATAACTGCAAATGAATAATGAGCGCATATGGCAATAATATTGAAATAAAATAAAATTTCTCAATAGTTTGCAACGGCGTTGGAGTCTGAACAAAGACCGTTTGTGCATGTACAGCTAATCGAGTATCTCAAAATTCAGAAGTTGATTCGGCATATGGCCTGTGTGTTTTTCTTTGGTGCAACAACATGAACAACAGAGAAGAAAGTCCATAGAAGGTAGTATATGAAATAAATATTAAGTTGAGTTTTGTTGCCAGCATTTGGTGCAGCCTGCCGATGGGATACACGTACGCAGAAGTATCCCTCAAATCTACTTCTCAATACCGATATAAACTATTATAGAAAACGATTTATTAACAACAAAATGTGGTATATATGTCTCCAAATTACAGACTTTTACCGATGTTAAATTAAAAGTATGCATAATGCTATGTTCCACTATGTAGACAATGTAAAATTATCTATTTTAGTAATTATCAAGTGTGCAAAATATTTTCTTAACAGCGACAAACTAATGACAATAGCAATTCACTTTAAGCTTATTAATACTTTGTGGTAATAAATTTTGTAAGTTACTGCTTTAGATAATTTTATACATTTACACTGAAACATTACGACAAAGTAATTGCAAAAACTAATGACATCAAAAGTTGAAAGAAAGTATAGATTCATGACATCACAAAAAAAAAATCAGCAATAGCTTATATAACTTAAGCTTGTTTTTCAAGCATATACAAAGACCCAGGCACAATTCAAAGGATGACAACATATGTCGTAACATTACTTGCTGGAAATCCTTGATGGAGCCCCCTCCACATTAAATTAACACTACCACAAAACGGAATATCCTTGAGGGCGAAAATCCCTCAAGGAAAGATGAAAACCATTAAGGAGATCAGTTGTGCCAGCCAACCCTCAAGGAAGCAACGCAAAGGATAGGTAGCAAGGGAAATTTTCGACTACCTTTTCAGCTACCACAAATGATTTCGTTAGGGGATTTAACAGCCAAGAAAACAAAAAAGAGGTCAAATTTTTCACATTGTTAAGGAAACATGGCAACACCAAGGATTTATATTTTCTTGAGTGCGTCAAGGATATATATTTTGTCGAGGGTTGATGACCCCAAGGATATATAGAACAAGAGCAAAAAATGTAAGAATCGCCAAGGATATATTTTCTCGAGAGTTGTTGACAAGCTATATCACACCTGCCACTACACCTTGAAGTAACTTGTGACCAAGTGAATGGTTATTTTATTTTGTATTCACTTTAATGAATCTTGTAATTAATATTTGAGTCCTTAAAAAATTAAAAAGAAAAAATGAAAAAAGTTTAGATCTCGAGTACTATAACTTTGGTTTAGGTCATATCTCCATCTGAGGTCATTTAAAAATTTCAAAAAAAAGTTAATCTTCAAACTCTAAAAAATTAAAACATATTTTTTGACTCAAAATGATTTTAAATGAAAATGTTATCATC